TCCTTTATAAATATGGCCTACGTCTATCTCATAGCAAATAATCTGACCACCAACCGGCACACTAACAATTTACCTTTCCGTTTGTTTGCCCACCACTAGATCCCAACACTGCTAGCGCAGAATAGGGACCAGTATGAGTTACAGGAGCACAAAACATCATCTGCAACGACCAGCCTCTGTGCGGCTTCAGTCTCATAACTTACGTGGCCTGGTTTCATTTGCAGTTTTGTAAACGCAGTCACCTGTGGGGCTGAGCCCTTGAATGCGTATAAGGCCAGCAGGGACCATTGTGATCATCTGGTCAGACCCCCAGCATAGCACAAACCCTATGACCCCACCCGGGATTCCTGCATCCAGCCCAGTTAGCGTGTGGTTAAACTGGAGTGGCTCTGTTAGAAAGATACACCCAATGAATGGAGAATCCACCACACGCCAGTGGTTAATTTTCCTGCATTCACCAAACGATGCAGACTCCCATTTCTACCTGAACCACCCAATGCTCCCTCCCATAACAAGCCTGGACTCGCACCGGGGTTGGAAAACACTACCTGCCACCTCCGTGTGGCTCCCTGCCCCAGCCAGGCTCAGAGAAGGGAAGTGTGAGGCCAGGTCTCAGACCTGGCCAGCCACATGACTTTTATACCCACAGCATAGCCATTGGGTGCCGTCCTGCCACATGTACTCCCAATGAGCAGTGCCTTACTTTGCCGGCATGTCCATAGAAATCAGTGGGGCCGAGCCCGGAGACGGGATTGCTCCGTGTGAGTACGGGTGGCAGAACTGGGTAACTAGAGCTGTGCAGCTGAGATTTCACTCCAAGGTTTCAGGGAAGCTCTGATCTGGGTTCTGGTTCAAGCCCAAGGGGACGATGTGGCCCAGTTGCAAGGCCTGTGTCTGCATCCCTGCTGGTTTGCTCTGGTTTTGGTGAGCCCCAGCAGACTGATCACCCACAGGAGCCACTGGCCAGCTGAGCATATACATCCAAGGGACACTCCCCACCAACCAAATCACATGTCACCACCATGGCCCTTCCCCTGCACTAGTCCTTGGCTCAGTCCTCCCCCGGTTGAATCAGACTCACTCTTCTCACCCCATGCCATGCTGCACAGTGGGGACAAGAGAGGCGGGGGGACAGGGAAGGTTGTTGCTTGGGCGAGGAGGTTGACAAGGAGGCATGGCCTGCCTGCCTTCTCTCTGCCCCCCGCCCTGGCATGGACAGCCTTCCTCGGGCCCATTTCTCCTAGCAACGGGGCTGCCTGTGAATGAGCCTCTCCCACCAGCGCTAACTGGGCATTGCTTTCAGGAACGCCCTCGAGCAGACTGAGATGTTCGAGAGGCTCCGGCCGCGCCGCGCCGTTTGGGAGCAGCCAGGCGTGCTCAGCCTGCTGGCAGGCCAAGTCCACAGTGAGTGCTCGTCATCCATATTTAATTATTGCTTTTGCTCGTTAATTTTTAACTACAGTACTCCTGCTATCAAGGGCCATTAGGGGTCCCAACTTCAGGGTTCAACAAGCAGAAAAGTGCTTGTGACAGAGTGTACATTACTTGGTGTTTCTGCCTTCCACTTTGCTGGGCTGCGTTAGCCAGCAGACTGCTCCACCGCTGGTTGTGAATAAAACATGGCCCTCCGTTTGGAGTTCCTTTTCCTTTTCATCCCTGTCACAGTCACTTTGCCTCACGCTGAAGTTCGTGAGCTCACTTGAGTTCCTGCCTTTCCACGAACTAACTGAATTTCTGTAGGGAACGTCCCTGCATTACCAGCTGGAAGTGCTGGTTCAACGGGTCTCTCTAGCGGGAGGCCTGGCGCTGGCAAGCCAGCTGCTTGGACATACGTTGCCAAGGGGGAGGAAATCCAGTGTCAAATGGTTCCACCCCTCCAGGGCCAGGGCCTGCTAAATTACTGAGTTAGCAAGCGGCTGGGTCTGTCCTATGCCCCTGGATCCTGGCCTGTTGGTCCAGTCCAGGCCCCTCTCTTGAGAATCTAGAGGCTAAGTTTAAGCCAGCCTTTCCAAAAGCAAACACTGGGAGCTGCTGGGTATTGGGGTCTTTTGAAAAACTGGCCCATAATCAACTCATGTATTTAGAGCCTCCCTCCCCAGCTGCCACACGTTAAGCAATGACCCCTGCCCTTCCTGGGCAGGGGAAACAAGGAAAGGCCTTGGGTTTTATACTGAGCCTTGCACTGCTGCCCTACATGATAGCCTGGCGTGGCTATTTGTCCACCAGTCCGGCCCTTTAATGCACAGCAAGGGAAAAGAACCTTTACAGACCAGAACAGAAACGCATGATCCTATTGGTCCCTTCAGGCCCTAAAATCTCTGAATCTAGCAGTGAGTTTTGTTCTCACTGTCTGGTGGCTTTTCATCCTGAACTGACATGTACCCCCCACTCAACACTTTCAGTCGCAGACCGATCCGCAGCAGCAGCGTGACTGGGAATTCTCCCACGTTTACCCTTGATCTAGGTCACCCTTTCTACATTTTCAGCCTCCCTCGCTAGTCGGTAACCCTTGGGCTCAGCTCCCGTGGAAATGCATTCAGCATAAATATTGGAAGGAGGACAATTACCCACAGACGGGGGAGCAGCTACAGCCAGGGGTGGATTTACTAGGCATTGCAGAAAGTAGTTCGAGAAGCGCTCTTCCCTCACATGCGTGGCTGACAGGGTACAGGGAACGGCCCTTTCCCGGAAGGGGCTGTGATATCACAGTTGAGTGTGACAGCTCTAAAGGCGAGAGGCTGGCTCTAAAATGGCCTCTCTCATTGTGCTCGTGCACTTTCCAAAGGTGGCCTAGTCTATGTCTAACTCCGGTGTCACCTGCTGATGGAGACGGAGGAACAAAAGAATCTGCAGTGACCGGAGCTAGCTATGAAATCTCAAAACTGAACTCACCGCGGGCCCAAACTGAGCGGCAGCAAAGTGAACCCTGGCCTAGCTCAGAGGATCAACTTGCAGGTTGGCTTGGTAGTAGGGCACCTCAGTGGCCACAGCTTGCAGGCATGTAACACCCAGCCCTTTGGTTTAGGTAGCAGCACCAGGAAATGCCTACACATCTCTGACGGTCATTTTGGGAAGTGCTGTTCATGGGATCATATGGATGAACAGCTCTTCTTTGGCTGCCTGGTGCTGCCTCACGTGCTCTGCTCTCTGTGTTGTGTTGGGACATAGGGTGGAGGAGAAGGGAGTCACAAACAGCAGTAAGACTTGCCTCGCTCCTGTTGCTTATCTCAGTGTGAACGCTCCTGGGCTGCTGTCCATTCTGCCCCTTAGGAACCTACACTGCTCCATAACATGTTGGAATAGGGTTTCTGTCTGTCCTTCTGTGGAATTCACACTGCTTGACTCTCTCTTGGGCTGTAGGTTGCTCAAAGTGTAATGTCATGGAAATCACTAGCATCTCCTCCAGCTTAGCTACTCAGATACTCCATGCATGACTACATGTATCTGTATGCAAGATCAGACGAGCATCAACATATGGCAGCGGGGAGGGATAGCTCAGTGGTTTGAGCATTGGCCTGCTAAACCTAGGGTTGTGGGTTCAAGCCTTGAGGGGGCCATTTAGGGATCTGGGGCAAAAATCTGTCTGGGTCCTGCTTTGAGCAGGGGGTTGGACTAGATGACCTCCTGAGGTCCCTTCCAACCCTGATATTCTATGTGGATTGTTAATGCAGGAAAAGTCCCTCCAGAAGCCAGGCTACTGAGACACATGCAGTTGCTATCAAGGAGTGATAAAACATGTCTCTGATGGAAGGAGTTCCCCAGCTTTGGTAACATCGTGCTGCACACTTGGCCCCTCAGGGGGGTGGAAACTCGATGTGCTTGGTGGTGGTTGCCACTTACATGTAGCTGTCGTCACATGTGGCCAGCTCACAGCAGAGAATCACCTGGCCCCTGGCCTGCAGGAGTCAGCGTCGGAAGGTTTCAAGAACTAAGACTACAGTCACTAAGGTTTCTGGTAAGTAATTTTTCAGGGCATGATCAAAAGTGAGTTCTTCTGTTCTCTCTTCCATCATATCATTTAAGAAACTGGCACCCAACTTATTCAACCCATAGTGCCTGGGAGCCTTATTCAACCCTTGCCTGCACCGTGCCTGGAGTCTCACCTTTCATTCGCCTGGGATCACCTGAACCCAGAATGTTTCTGGGGCTGTTGCAAATCCTCGTCTCCTTGCTCACATTGCCCTCCTTAGAGCAGAGCTGGGTAGCAGCTGCAAAAATGTACCCCAAGCAGACCCTGGGCACCCCAGACCTAAGCTGGGGGAGAATGACCCATCCCCCCACACTTTTGTCCACAGCCTAGCAGACCTGCCAGGGATGGGACAGGCAAAGGGCCTGAACTCCTCTCAGCAGCGGCGGTGGCTACTGACCTGGAAACACCGGTGGGTGAGGTGGAGGGAGCACTATTAATCAGGCATCGTGCACCAGCAAACACCATCCCAGTAACCAATTGCAGCTACAGCACATTGGTCTGTCCACGCAGTGACAGCTGTCCCTGTAGCTCAGGAGTAGATCACCTGCCTTGGAGTCGGGAGCCCTGAGATCTAGGCTACAGCACCAAACTCCTGACCTCACAGATGGCCAACTCCAAACACACCCAGCCACACAAAGACACACCACACCGATTGCCTTCCAGAGAATTAGCCGCAAGAGCCAGTTTGGGCTGCACAGTACGTATATCCAGAGGCACATATGTCCAGGGTTCTTCAATACCCGGTAGATTCTAGAACTGCCTCCGGTGGCCTTTGTGTGAAGGAAAGTGAAAGGATTAAGGAAGAGAGAGGTGTCTGGGATACATCAGGCAGTGTGTGCTATCACCTCGGGAAGCCTGTCCCCACCCGTCCCCTGAGGATGTGTCAGCTTGATTGGGGTGAGATCATTAATCGTCTGGAGGAGTGTCGGTTAGCCGGACAGGGGTTAGTTGGACAGGGTGCGCTGGGGGACCAGCTTCGAAAGGACTGGTGGTAGAGTGAGTGAAGTTGTGGCTGGTTGGTATAAATTACCTGGGCATGCAGTGAAGCGGGATAGGTGAAAGCAGGAGGAGGTAGAGCAGGTGCTAACTCCGCTGGGTACAGAGGGTACGGCGCCCACACTTCAGGGCTACTGGGATAAAGTGCAGGCACTGTGAGCTCATCTGCAAGAAAAGAATAAGGAGAGTTCATGGTTACAAAACAGCAATGTTCAAAACAACCGAACAAGAGAGCTCGCTTCACATCAATCAACTCCTCCGGCAACTGTTACCTAAGCACAGAGGGAAAAGCCAAAAGACCAGGGGGAAAAACACTGCTCTGGAGGAGGGTTTCGGAGCCCCAGGGATCAGAGCAGGACTGTGTGCTAACGTGACAGGGCAGCGGTGGGAGAGTAGGTGACTGGGATGACGGTATGACAGCTGGCAGAAGAAACTCCCCCTCGGACGGACTTGTACTGTGCGGGGACCGGGGTTCCCGCAACGGGACCGTTTACCTGCCAGAACACTGAGCCCTTTCACAACTGACGGGAGGTGTTTCGCTGTCAGAGTCGCTCCGAGGGGGAGCATTTCCCCTGGGTGGAGACTGTTACCCATAGTTACAGGCTGAGCCATCGACCTGGTTTGCAGGGCCAGGCAGGACCCTGCACCGTTTGGTGATGCAAGGCAGCAAGCAGTAAGAGAGACACACAAACAGACTGAGTGCTGACTCTGCCCGGGGCGTGTGTGACAAAGGCACTACAGTGATTGGGATGCACCGTAGGCCAGCCAGGGCAGGGAGGTAGGTCCTGGGTCGTGCCCCCCTGCTCAGAGTCTGGGGCCACTGCACCCTCTGCCACAGGCTGGGACACCACTTTGGCCTGCGCTAGGGTGCATCCACACTGGCCTTGCCCTTTCCTGCCCCAGGGCATCCCCCCACTCCACCTTGGGGCTCCTGCGGAGGTGGCACAGAACTGGTTCTGTGCATGGTGCGCAGGCCCCTTGAGCCAGCCTGACAGGGGGAAAGGGGTGACAGAGCAATGATGGGTCTAGAAGAACTCAAACCATTACAAACACGGGCATTTGCAGAGGGGCCAAGCATGAGTTCTGCTGGCTAGTGGGAAAGGGAAGTTGATGGTGTCGTCGCTTTGGGAGTTGCCAAAGGTGCACAGCTGGGGCCCGACCACCAAGAGAAATCCTCTGCCCATTATGCCATATGGGAAACAAGGAGAGGCGCAGAAGAAGGCAGATGGGGGACAAGGAGGAGGATGGCTGGGGGGAAATGGCAGCTAGTGGCCATCTGGCCATCTCCCTGTCTCTTTCTAGTATCCTCAATCAATGGGGTCTCTACAGGCAACACTCTCAGTGGGAAGTGTCTACGGGGCACATGGTAGTGCAGCCAGGGACAAAGGGCAGCAGAGCAGACCCAGATGGTTGGTAGTGCCGCCGTGGCAGAGTTACAAAGGGATCTCACTAAACTGGGTGACTGGGCAACAGAATGGCAGATGAAATTCAGTGTTGATAAATGCAAAGTAATGTGCATTAGAAAAAATAATCCCACTGAACATGCAAAATGATGGGTCTAAATTAGCTGTTACCGCTCAAGAAAGAGATCTGGGCGTCATTGTGGATAGTTCTCTGAAAACATCTGTTCCATGTGCAGTGACAGTCAAATGTTAGGAGCCATTAGCAAAGGGATACATAATAAAACAGAAAATATAATAATGCGGCTGTATAAACCTATGGTATGCCCACACCGCAAATACTATGTACAGTCCTGGTCACCCTGTCTCAAAAAAGATATATTAGAATAGGAACAGCTACAGAGAAGGGCAACAAAAATGATTAAGGCTATGGAACAGCTTCCACATGAGAGATTAAAAAGACTGGGACTCTTTCGTTTAGAAAAGGGGCAACTAAGGGGAGAGATGATAGAGGTTTATAAAATCATGACTGGTGTGAAGAAAGTGATAAGGAAGTGTTATTTACTCCTGCTCATAACAGAAAAACCAGGAGTCACCTGCTGAACTTAACAGGCAACAGGTTTAAAACAAACATAAGGAATGCACAGTCACACAACGCACACTCAACCTGTGGCACTCATTGCCAGGGGATGTTGTGAAGCCCAAGACTATAACAGGGTTCAAAAAAGAACTAGATAAGTTCATGGACTATAGAACCATTAACGGCTATTAACCAGGATGGGCAGAGACGCAACCCCATTCTATGGATGGCCCTAAACCTCTGACTGCCAGAAGCTGGGACTAGACAACAGGAGACGGATCACTTGATAAGTGCCTTGGTCAGTTCCATTCCCTCTGGGGCACCTGGCACTGGCCAGTCAGAAGACAGGATACTGGGCTAGACGGACCATTGGTCTGACCCAGTATGACCGTTCTTATGTTCCCGTGAGAACCCCCACGGGTCTGGGTAAGGCATTTCAGTGTTTGTGGTCCCAGATTGGATTGCATTTATCTGTAAAAACACATTCATTTTTTTCCATATTTTTCCTTGTGGTTCTTCAGGTGCCCTCACTGTGCATGTCTTAACAAGTTCGGATTTCTTTTAAGTGTACTCTTAACTGTGAATTTTCTGGGTTTAACACACTTGGTTTGGGGGTATTTATAGAATCTCTGTAATTTTTTTACCCTTAAATTACTGATACATAATCTCAACATAACTCCATTTTAAGTTTTTTTTTTTTTAATTTCCTTAGTTTGGTAAAAATTATTTAAAATGTTATATGTGAATACTTACATGAGAGACCCAAAGAGCATGCTGCCATGTGATATTTCTAATTATCTGAAGCTACATAGACGCCCTTAAACCATAGTTTAAATGTTAACTTCTAAGGACAGCTTCACCAGTACACCAGACCAGCACAAAGAAGCTGGAATGCACCAATCACTTTAGCTGCTTTGCATCACTGAAGCAGACACGGCACACTGGTGAAGCCAGCCCTGATTTGCCACTGACCTATTGTTTCGAGGGCTGTGTTAGTGAGACGGCACCATGAGAAGGGGGGCAGGGGCAAGCCAGTGCCTGAGTCCAATTGTCTGTGCTTTAAAGGCTCCCGCTTTGCTTGTGTCTCAGCGCACACGGGAGCCGAGGCAGCAGTGCTATGAGAAACCTTTCAGGTGCTGACATCTGGGCTAGCAGGTAGCCACAGAAAAGCAGTTGGGCCAAATAATCTACGAATGAAGATTCTGGACGTACGTCCACTCTCCATCCTATCCCTGAGTCATTACAGACAACCCAGTGCTGAATGCAGATTAGCTGCAGAGGAAGAATGGTGACTGGTTGAGTCACCTGTGATGTCAAAATGGCCTCACATAAAAGTTACCTGAGCTATAGGGCCTGCCTGTAGCCTGTATAATAATAGCAATTAGAGACAACTACCACTGATGACTTAGCTCCATTTCTTCCAATATAGCCTATGTGCAAGATCCTCATTAACTTTCCCTATGGAGAGAGTTTGAAGAGTATATGTGCTAGTCTGTTGTTAGGATCATTTTGGGACAAAGAAAAGTCTGACAGATGCTACGTTTCTTTAAGGGTCCAGTTTTTAATTAATTTTAACTCACATTTGATCCTCCTTAGCTGCGTGAGTGTCGCCAGCCCTAGACCCTCCCGGACATGGGGGCCTTGACTTTCCCCGGCCACAGGGACCTTGCCAGGCTAAGAACCTCCCCAGCCATGGGGGTCTTACCAACCCTAGGCCTTCCCCAGTCACAGGGGCCTTGCCAGCCTCAGACCTTCCCCAGACGCGTGAGCCCTGCCAGCCCTAAACCCTCCCCCGCCACAGGAGCATCACCAGCCTTAAACCCTCCCCAGCCATGGGGGCCTCGGCCCCCCCCGACCTTCCCCAGCCATGTGGGTCTCCCCCGCCCAAGACTCTCCCCCCAGCCGCACGAACCTTGCCAGCCTTAGGGAGGTGATAGCTTAGGGTTTTTCTCAGCACTCACAGGGTAGTTCAGCTGAGATGTGGCATGGGGAGAGCCTGGGTCCCAAGCCCTCATTGTCCAGTGTGTGCTGGCCTGGCCTGGCAGCTTCCAGCCCATTTTATGCTCTGTAGGAAGCAGGATCTCTCCAAGGAGTCACAGGAGCTGGCCTTCCTCTCGGGCCCAGTCCCAGACCATTTCCAACAGAGGCTCTCTTCGGAGAGAAGTCCTAGGAAACTGCTGGCATGCGGTATTCAGACACAGCAGGTCCTGTCAGGGATGGGAGGGCCAGATCCTCAGCTGGTGTAAATCAGACTGATCATTTGACATCAGTGGAGCTCTGCTGATTTACGCCCGCCGAGGAGCATGCCAGGAAGGCTCAGTACAAGCCCCTTTAAGGCTGTTCTGCCCTATTGCATATCTGACAAGAACACCAGCCTTGCAAAACTGCTGCAATTGCTAGATAATTCCCTTGTTTTAGAACCTGCCTGTTTTAATTTACTGTTTTCCTAGGGTTAGTTGTGAGCCTTCAGTTTACTGATCTGTGTAGACGCCACAGGAACGCCACAGCTGTGAATGATTTAACAGCATCATAAATTATTTGTGGGGTAACAACCATGGAAAAAGGTGCTTGCCCAAAAAGATAAATAACAGTAGGGAAGCTGATACCAAGTTTAAGCTTCTGATTAAACGGTGGGATTTATTACTCCCAGGGCTTGCATTACTTACGCATACTGAACTTTATTGGAGGTTTATTTACAGCTAATGCTTAGGACCTGATTCATTCATGAGGTTTTTTTTTCCATAAAAAGAAGCATATTCAATTTTTCTGCCAGCGGCAGCTGATCAGAAACAGCAAGGGAGCGTGGTCCCACTCAGAACATGGTGCTGTTCACTTACTAGTAAATGCTCCCTGATCAGAAACCACAATATTCTTTCAACATAAAAAAAAAAAAAGCTTGAAAAAATGACTTCACTGTTAGCTGCTTTTTTGTGGTACCAGTGCAGTGTAACCTGCAGGAACGGATGCGCTGCTGTCCCAGGCGTAACATGGGATGCTGCTCATACTTTGCCTGTTTCCTGGATGGACAGAGCACTTTCCTCTCCAGAACTTTTCATGGACACTAAGGGCATAGGTTCAAGTGCTTAGCACCCACACTGGGACCAGGTTTTCCAAAGAGCTCAGTACCCAGAAGCTCCACTGTGATAGATACGGACAAATTCTCAGCAGACCTCTGCATGTTGGGA